ATAACTGCTAGACCCTACCCATGTGTAGTCCTCTAAAATATAATAGTATTCTAGTTACTGCATCTTTTGAAAGTGCTTAATTTTTTTCCTAGGATGATGCACCCTTTGCTGCATCTGATTTGCCATCAAAGATATTGAGAGTGCTGTCTTATAGTTGACGGAACTATGATCTAATTTAATAAAAGGAAACAAAATAATTTAAGAATCCTTATAAAGTAGAGATTGTAAACCTAAGCAATTAATAACTTGCTCTGAAATTGTATTTATGTGACTAATTCTGTTTCAGATGTTATATAGATATTCATAAATCTTTGAAATTAATAATTTTAAAACTATTAAAATTTCTAACTCCAAACTGATACATTGTTACTCTTCAATCATAATAGTTGAGAAACCCATTTAAATAATTTTTTATAAATTGTTATAAAAAGTATTAGAGAATGTGGAATTTTAGATTTGTGTGATCCTACATTTGTCTCATTTAACCAATTTTTTCTGTAAATGAGGAAATTGAATAGAAAGAAGTTGTTCCACATCCAAAGCAGCTAATACTACCTGAACATTAAGTTATTTTTGTCATATTTGCCAGAGTATTCAAAAAAGTCGCATACTGTTTTAGTTATCCATAGCTGTGCAATAAGTTATACCAAAACTTAGTGGCTTAAACCAACAAACATTTATGATCCTAAAGTTTCTGTGGATCAAGAATCTAGGTACAGCTTCCCAGGTGCTTCTGGTTTAAGGTCTCATGGGACTGCAATCAACCTGTTAGCCAGGGCTGCAGCCATAAATGCTTTAACTGGGTAGGGAGAAACTACTTTCAAGCGAACTCGTGAGGTTGGCACTCAGTCCCTTGTCACATGTACGTCTCCACAGGGCTGTCTCATGTCATGACAACTGGTTTGACCCATGGCATCAATGCAAAAGAGAGGGAGATAAATGGAAGTTAGACATTTTATAACCAAATCTCTGTCTGTGAAGTGACACTTCATATTTGTTGTATTCTTTTCGTTAGGTCAAGAGAAAAGGGCCAGACAGGGTGTGACTAACAGGATAAGAAATCATCACAGACCTTCTTAAGGCCACTTTGTGCCTACTACATGCCCGTAAAAAAAAATCATTAAGAACATGTCACAAAAAAGTTAAAATATTTGTTATGTAACTACTGTAAAAAAAATTTCAAAAATAATACAATTGGAATTTGGACTCTTGATTAAATCATCATATTCTCCATATGTTATTCTTGCTGATTTTTGACTGTGTTTATTTAAGAGTGTGACCTTGTACTTAAGAAATATACACAGAAGTCTTAAGGCTTAACTGGGGAAGATGGTTCAAACATATGCACCCTCCCTCACACCAAACACATACACACACACACACACACAGAGAGAGAGAGAGAGAGAGACAGAGAGAACAAGAGAGGGACAGAGTCAGAGAGAAAACTTAAAAAACCAAATGTGACAAAATGTAAACAATTGGCGAACTGGAGTTTTATTACTTTTCCAGATCTGACTATAACAAGTGACCTTAACTGTGGTGCCTTAAAACAACAGAAGTTTATTCTCTCACAGTTCTGGAGACTAGAAGTCCAAAATGAAGGTGTCAGCAGAAGTGAGCTCCTTCCAAGGGCCATTTTTTGTCTCTTTTAGCTTGTGGTGGTTGTCTCCATTCCTTGACTGTAGGTGAAATATTCTAATATCTGTCTAGTTTTCACTTTGCCTTTTCTCTTCTCTGTCTTCTCTTTTGTCTCTTTAAAACCTTTCTCTGCTTTTGTCTTAAAAGACACTTGCCATTGGATTTGGGGTCCATCCTAAACCAAGATGATCTCCTCATCTCAAGATCTTAACTTGATTCTTTCTGTGAAAACCCCTTTTTAAAGTAAAATAACATTACTTGTCATTATGTGTCAGGAAGTATGCATAAACATATATTTTGTGGTCAGCCATTCACACATTACAGGAGTATGAAGGAATTTCTTGTATAATTCATGTAACTTTTCCATAAGTATACAATTATTTTAAAGTAAAATATTTTTCAAGAAAAAAAAAAACAAGAAATTACATTGTCAAATGCTATACTAATTCAAACACTATGACATCTGACTAGCCAACTTTCTCTTAAAAATAAGCCTAAAAATGTGTACAGATATGTCAATCAGAATAAGGTATTTTTTGAACTTGTATTTCATCATCATTCACTCTTTGAAGTCCGTGGAGATTATGTGATGTCAAAACTCTCTTCTTCATTGACCTCTCAAACTTTTGTTTTAATCTTCTTTGAACATTTAGGAAATCAAAGGTCACTTTTATTTCAAAAGGTGGAACTACGACCCCAATATTACAATCTTTGTAGGAAGAGCTAAACGAAATCTTCTATGATGCTAATTGCCACAAGATGGCAACTTTATCTCAGATAATAGGGTCATGAGCCCCAAAGGTATTTTTGTTTTTGTTTTTGTTTTTTGATCTTCGATTAGTTTGTTTTCTTTTCAAAACTGTGTATTGACTTTAAGAAGCATTTTTTCATTTCTTAAGCATTCTACCCCAGATTTGCTAATTTCTTATGTACATATTGAGCTAATGTGTCCTTATGTAGTATCTTCACTATGTAAAATGATAAATGAAGGAATCCAATTACATAAGTTTGTAACACATAATAGCCTATTCTCATACAGCTGGAACCATGAGGTCCAAGATGAGCAGTCCGTTAAAACAGCTGCAGGAAAAAAATATGCTTAAAGGCATGCACACACACATGTACATATATATACGGAATTTTAATGCTATGTTTGGATAAATGGAATATCTAAAGAAATAATGAGGGAAGGAAAACTGTATTACTGGCTATAGGAGTTAGCTATTTAACAATTGGAATCAGTCACTCTAGGCTACATGAGCCTCTTGAGGCTTTCCAGTTGTGTTTTTAGCATTTGATCTCCAGTATCCAGCACATTGTTTATGTTAAATAAATACTGGCTACATAAATTTATGCATCATGAGTGATTTAATGATTTAATCTACACAACAGCCAAATATAGTCAAGCATAAATGCACTGAAGTTAAATCAAATAATCATGGGGATAATGAAACTTATAGCCCAAATGTGTACACATACATATGATTCTTTATTTTCTTGGACAGTCTTTAATAATTGTGGAATCATAGATTCTAAAGCTGAAAGCAACCTCAGGTGGTCATCTGGTTCTATGCCTTTCTTCAAGAGACAAGCAATTATTATCCCCATGATCTATTAAGCCACATTTTCTTTAGCATGTGACAGCTAAGGTGATGATGATCGAAAAATATTGCTCTCCATTCTTAAACAATTTCACATGCACATATATGTTTAACAAGTGCCTTTCCAGAGCTATTACAAGAAAACACTAGCAGCCTTGGTTTGGAAGAGTAATTTATGATAGCTAGGTAAATGGCGTCCAAGATCACCTTGCTCACATTAGCCATGCAGCATCCCTGCCCCTTCACGGCCATCTTTCTTTAACCCTGGTGACAAGTGTGATTAAAAAGAAAAATAACATGAGTCCTACTTTAGTTTGCTTACTCTGTTTCTTATTCTAGTACTTGCTGCCTCAGATCATCTGTCTCAATAAGTTAACATAGGAGGGAGTAGAAGGAGAAACTGCGAAGTCGTGAGTGTGAGAGGAGTGCAGTCAATAGGAGGCCTTCTGGCCATTACTCCCCTCCCCATCTTTTGTTTCCTTTTGGTTTGTTAACTAGAAATGTGGCAAGGTGAGGGAGATGAATTTAACTTGTTCAGACATTAGTGAGGGACAGGGAAGTGTGGCGGCTTCTACAATATTTCTGCCCCAGAGAGACGTAATTGGAAAACTTGTTGTGTGGTTAGGTGGTGTAATGAAAAATAAAAGAATGATTGAGGAGAACAGTGGAATCAAATTATAAGCACAAGGCAAGTGTGCTGAAGTTTTTAGCCACTTGCAAAATTGAGAGATACTATCAGGACTGTGCAAATACATTGCTCTGATTAATTTTCCTGGGGTGAAATATGAAAATGTTTTTAAAACTGAGGATCCTGCCATGAATAAAATTTTCTCTGTGATTATGATAAACTAAAATAAGCCATAAAACTTGTATCTATCTTATGTGAAACTTTAAAAATGGTTAAATAATAAAAAAACTAAATAACAGGATTTCACTGTGAGAGGCGAAAAGAATCTGTATTCATGTGTTACTCTAAATGGCTTAAAATTTTGAAGATTATTCAATAAATAAAGACTAGTTTATTTTGAAGGGATTTTTAAACTTTATTCCCTGAATATTGTTATAGAAGTAGCATTTTATTACTCTTCCTTTATACCGTTTTTTTTTTATGTGTGGAAGCTGTAATTTTTCAATATGTAGGTAAACTGTCTTCAAGTTCAAAAAAATTCGGTCTTTAATTTTAATGATAATGAATAATTCAGTTATAATTTAGAAATACATATTTGGATTCTAGTTTTTCTTTTTAGGTGTAAAGTGAAAGATTTTAACTTTGCATTCTTCTGTAAATTTCTTAAGAATAAATTTGAAGAAATCATTGATATAAAGGAAGGGTTAATGGAGAAGGAAGCTTCCTAATATACAAAGCCCCTCTCTTATATGGAGCTCTAGAAATATTCTATTGTCAATCCAAACAGAACAAACTAAAATGAGATAATTGGGAAGGTGCCCATAAAGTCAGCCTGAATATATTATCACAACTATATATGAGATAATATTTGTTTTAAAAAGATTCTATGGCACTGTAAACTCAGTCTCATTAGAGACTGCATTTAAAAGGCTTATAAAGTTACTCATTAATGTTATCTTGTTGTATCTCCACAGCTTTTTCATTAAAGAAAATTCAGCAGAAAGCATTTTCTCCTGATAGCAGGAACCAATTTGCAATAAATGTTCTGGAAACCACTAGGGAAGCCATTACTGAGATCTAATAAAAACAGACAAGCGTAACTTGTTCTATATTTTTGTTTCAATCACATACAGATGAGACCCCGCTTTCTACACCAACCGCAAGAGACAGCCTTGACAAACTCTCTCTAACTGGGCATGGACAACCACTGCCTCCGGGTTTTCCATCTCCTTTTCTGTTTCCTGATGGACTGTCTTCCATCGAGACCCTTCTGACTAACATACAGGTAGGCCTTTGTACAACTTGGAAGAAAGACATATGGAACACCCAGTTGTAGATTTTTTTTTCCAAAATTTATACTGTTCCTACTTAATCCATTCATTAGACTGACTGAAACATGGTATTAAACTCTTCAAGCAACTAATATTTTAAACCTGTTACACTAATCAAATTGACTTAGAAATACTCATATATATTATATATATATGTATATCAAGCTGTAATAAAAACTTTGACGAAAATGACATAGGTCTTTAAAATTCATTCCATCTAAAATGCTCTCTTTATTACCAACTAATGGGAGGAATTTAACTGTTTAAGTTTGTCTGATTTTACTAAACAACAGCACACTAGTTCTAATAAATATTTAGTTATTTTTAAACTTCTGGCCTTCTAGTGAGGAAATGATATGTTTAGTCATTTAAGATATGTCTAATTTAGAAGAATCCAAAAAAAATGCCTTCTTTCATGAATAAGTTTGTTTCAGTTAATAGAATTTCTTCAAAGACTAGACTTCAAAAAGCCTTACCAAACTTTCCACGGATTTCCTATGTGGTCCTCAGGATGTATATTTTATGTACAGTACATTATGAATCAAAAATACTTACAGTTAACAATAACATAGAGTGTGGAGCCAAGATAATAAGAGTGTCTGGGATAGAAGAAAGCATAATTTTCTTGCCCACACATGAAGTGATCATGTGGACCCCAGATGGAGATATTTGTTCTCTACTTCTCCATATTTGGGTAGCTAGTGAGTAGTAGGCACAAGTTGCTAATAGTGTGCTGGTAAGCTCCTTTTTTAAAAAAAAACTTTTTACTCTAAAATTCCATCCTCAGTAATATTTTTCTGTATACATATCCTATCATATTAAAGTTTCCCCCAGTGGAAATGTAATTACTTTTATTTACCTCTCCAAGGACATAACAGAAGGCCTTTAATGTAACATATCTTCTCATCTATTAATATGGCATTTTTTAATACTAATGTAATTAGAGTCTTCAGAACTGTATTCAACTTTAAGGTTTTATAATGCAGTAAATGAAAATCATCAATCCAGCCTATACTAAATCATGGTGAAATAGTTGATTATATAAAACAAAATATTTTTTTTCTAAATTTCACCCATATGTTAAGGTAAATGTTTTCAGAAAATATTCCTTAACATTTCTGAATTTAAGTTCTGAAAAGTAAAGGAATAACTCATTTTCTTATGTATAAAACTCAATATGAAGCGAAGGAAAAGCTATTTGCATGTATTGTCATTAACTGAAAACTCTTTAACCAGGTCAGTGAGGATTTAATTTCAATTTCGGCAGAGAAAACGTTTCTGGGTTTCATCAGTGTAAAACAGCATGCTCATCTGAAGAGCAGGTTTGACACGTGTACTCTTGCATTGTATATGACCACTACATTTCAAAGTCAAATCCTATCAGTTTGGAGTATTCATCGACACTGTACGGACCAGAAATACTCAGATTAGGAATGTCATCCACATCACCTCAAACTGTAATTATTTCAGAAGGAAGGAGAGAAAGAACAAAAGAAAGAAAGAAAAGAAGGAAAAGAAAACTCCAGTTTTAAAATGTACAAATTTTAGAAAAATCATTCATTGTAGGTGGCTGTAGATTTAATATACTCTCCTTTTCCTACCATATGCTTTGAAGATATATTTTCATAAGAGTAGATAAAAGGACAATGGTCAAGACAAACTAAATTATTTCTGTTCCCAAATTATAGGGATCTGGGACTGATAAAGTTAGAACACCCACAATAAGAATGTTTTATTAAAAATAAATTAGGGGCCGAGTGCAGTGGCTCATGCCTGTAATCCCAGCACTTTGGGAAACCAAGGCAGGTGGATCACCTGAGATTAGGAGTTCGAGACCAGTCCAGACAACGTGATGAAACCCAGTCTCTACTAAAAAAAAAAATAGAAAAAATTAGCCAGGCATGGTGGCGGGCACCTGTAATCCCAGTTACTTGGGAGGCTGAGGCAGGAGAATTGCTGGAACCCAGGAGGCAGAGGTTGCAGTGAGCTGAGACTGTGCCATCACACTCCAGCCTGGGCATCAAGAGTGAAACTCCATCTTAGATAGAAAGATAGATAGATAGATAGATAGATAGATAGATAGATAGATAGATAGATAGATAGATGATAGATAAATTAGGCTTGTCCATTTCAATCTTACTTATATGTATGTGTATATATAGATGCAGTTATATATTTTTATATATGTCTAATATGCATATGCCTGTATTTATACATGCATGTACATATGTGCCCACAGGTGAAATAAAAATTTAAAATCCTACTGAATTTCATGCACATATATATTATAAATACATATATATACACACACATACATATACAAACACACACACACACACATTTATTGTCAGTAATGGTTTCATATCATTTTACAAAAGCTTACAGATGCTAACTCTTTTACTATTGTCACATTTACTGAGTTATGGTATTATCGTAGGAATGGTATGGAATGTTTAAATAGTCATGACCCCGGATTATTAAGTATACAGTATAAATGTGATTGCTGTCCAAATTCTAATATGGGTAATTACATTCTGTCTACCTCAATTTCCTCTGCAGTTTCAATTATATATAATAGGATTCTGTGCTTTCTGTGTCAAAATGGTAGCATACTTTTTGTGCAGTAAGTTTAAAGCTCCATTTTTTTAAGACGTTACTTTTTATTAAAATTATGACCAAAACACCCTGTAAAATAAAGTGTTTCCATAAAGTGTTATTGTTCTAATAGTCAATAAAGCCTGGAATTTAAAATTTGTAATGATTACTACGGATGTCCTTTCCATGACATCGTCATCAAAATTAAATTTTTGTCAGTTATTTCTTTGTGTTTTAAAAGAAGATCTATAGAAAAATACTATAATTATATGTGAAGATTTTCTATTTAATTTTTATTTTAAAATTTAAATTTATAAAATGTACATATATATATATATATATATATATTAATTGGGCACCAGACTTTTGTTAACTATTTGAGCTATACTGCATTCCTGCATTTAAGCGTTTTAGAAATTAAAAGTTAGCGGGGCACAGTGGCTCATGCTTGTAATTCCAGTACTTTGGGAGGCCTAGGTGGGCGGATCTCGAGGCCCAGAGATAGAGATCATCCTGGTTGACATGGTGAAAACATGTCTCTACTAAAACTACAAAAATTAGCTGGGTGTAGTGGCACGTGCCTGTAGTCCCAGGTACTTGGGAGGCTGAGGGATGCGGAGGTTACACAGCCAAGATTGCACCACTGCACTCCAGCCTGGTGATAGAATGAGACTCCATCTCAAAAAAAAAAAAAAAAAGATAGAAAAGAAAAGTCATAATGAATAAAGAAATCTAAAGTAAAAAGAAAAAAAAAGACCTATTAAAATCCTATGTTGATATATAAACATTTTATATTTAAATTTTATATTTAGAAATTTATAAAATGTATATATGTAAGTAATTGGGAAGAAGAATTTTATTAGTGCTTGAGCTATACTACTTCCTGACATTTGAGTGTTTTAAAAATTAAAAGTGATAATGGATACAGATATCTAAAGAACAGTAATTTAGTTTAGTAAGGAATATGGATACAGTTCAGTTTTTGATTTTTAAAATTGCTTTTACTTTTTCTATATGGCATTTTTTTTTCATTGTGGGCAATCTTTCATTATGGCTTCCTCTTTCAAACTTGTCCATGGAGAACAACCTGTGAGATTTTATGCAAGGAGACTAAAATTTTAGTGTCAATTAATTGGATATGACACCTTCGAACATGAGCTACCATTTGAACATGATCAAAGGATAATTCTGCTTACTCTTTTTTTTTTTCTTTTTCCTTTGCTTTTCTTTTTTCTTTTTTAAGACAGAGTCTCCCTCTTTCACCCAGGCTGCAGTGCAATGGGACAATCTGGGCTTACTGCAACCTCTGCCTCTCAAGTGATTCTCCTGTCTCAGCCTCCCGAGTAGCTGGGAGTAGCCTCCCACCACCACACCTGGCTATTTTTTTAAAAAAAATGTTAGTAGAGTCGGGGTTTCACCATGTTGGCCAGGCTTGTCTCAAACTCCTGACTTTAAGTAATCTACCCCTCTCCCAAAGTTGCTGGGGTTACAGGTGTGAGCCACCATGCCTGGCCCTACTCACTCTTTTTAATCTAGAACCCTTTAGCGCATAGGGTGTGAGCAAATTATTTACTTTATCTATCTTGTTACGAAAAGGATTTAAAAAGTGGCTTGCAAATATTAAAATAACTAAAAAGTGAAAATGTAAAGTTTGAGTAGAGAATATAAAATTTAGGAGTGAGGTTAGCATTGAAGATTTATTTGCCATGAGGGGATATATGATTGGAGTTTGGTTCACTATAATCTATCTACATGGAAGAATTAAGCAAACAAGAAAGACCTAAAACATATGTTAAAAGCGCAATAGCTTCAGCTTCACTGGGTGCTGTGACTCACACTTGTAATTCCAGTGGAGACTGAGGCGATAAGACCACCTGAGGCCAGAAGTTTGAGACCAGCCTGAGAAACATGGGGAGACCCTGCCTCTATAAAAATACAAAAATTAGCTGGGCATGGTGGGGCATGCCCATAGTCCCAGCTATTAACACTTGTGAGGATGAGGCAGGAGGATAGTTTGATCCTGGGAGTTCGAGACTACAGTAAGCCATGATGGCGCCACTGCACTCCAACCTGGGTGACTGAGTGAGACCCTATCTTAAAAACACATACACACACAAGAAATGGCAGCTCCAGATTGATTCACTATAGCCTAATAAATGGACATAATCCAGCCATGGTATCTAGGAGGAATTATTCTCTACGTCTGTGTTTGTGGAAAGAAAATGAAAAAGAATTAAGTATAAGACTGAACTATAGTCATGAATCGCTTAACACTGGGGGTACATTCCGAGAAATGAATCACTGGACAGTCTTGTAGTTGTGCAAACATCATAGATTGCAGTTATACAAACCTAGAGGATATAGCCTAGTATATACCTAGCTATACAGCATACCCTATTGTTCCCAGGCTATGAACCTATATAGAAGATTACTGTATTGAATACTGTAGACAACTGTAGACCAATAGCAAGTATTTGTGTGTCTAAACATAGAAAAGGTACAGTAAAAATATGGTATTATAATCTTATGGGGCCACCATCATGTATGCTTGTGGACCAGAAAATTGTTATGGAGGTGAATGACTGTACTCTGATTATCCATCTTCAGTTCTTTACATTTCAATATCATGGCCAATAATTTTACTTTACTTTTTAATATATTTTAAAATAAAATAATAGTTTCCTTATTTACGTTGTTAATACATAATTTTAATTATAATTTAATTATAATACATAATTATATATAATACCATTAATTAGGAGGAGACTTTGCATAAACCCCAACAAAATAGAAATTGACTTCAAAATATGGGGAAGCTTGTATCAAATATATTGGCCCTACATTATGTTTTTATTCTCAATGGTAATTATATATTATGAATCTTCTCTGCTTGTACCTGTCATACATCGGCGTTGCAGGACAATAATCATAGCATTAAACTGAGTATGGTAGTATATTTTGTTACAAGAACTTCTCTGAAAATGTGTCAGTTGGGCCGGGCGCGGTGGCTCACGCCTGTAAATCCCAGCACTCTGGGAGACTGAGGTGGGTGGATTGCCTGAGGTCAGGGGTTTGGAATCATCCTGGCCAACAGGACGAAAACTCTACTAAAAATAAAAGAAAATAAGCCGGGCATGGTGGTACATGCCTGTAATCCCAGTTACTTGGGAGGCTGAGGCAGGAGAATTGCTTGAACCTGCGAGGCAGAGGTTGCAGTGAGCTGAGATCGCGCCATTTGCATGCTAGACAACAAGATCGAAACTCCTTCTAAAAAAAAAAAAAGTGTCAGTTGATACTATACTATTGATTATGTGTTTGTTATTGATTATTTGTTTGTTTTTTGGTCTACAAAAGTTCCTAATTCCAAGGGACATTATCCTTTTTCTCCCTGAAAAGAGACCAGGGAAACATTAAAATAATAATAAAGAAGACTAAGTAGCTGGATAGTTGTGATCTAGGCGTACTCTACTCAGTATTTGGGATTTTCAATCAGTCTCTTGATTCTTCTGCACCTTGGTTTTCTCATCTTTAAAAGTATTTGGTTACGATGGTGATTGCTAAAATCCTCTTCAACTAAGGTGTTTTAATTTCATTAGAAGCAACACATTATTGAGAACAAATTTTGTCACATGAGTTTCAGTGACACTCGAGAAACCTAACTTACTGTCGGATTCTGAAATAAATTTATGTTAAATACAAACATGCATCAAGTAAGCTTTTCCTCCAGGATCTAGCTAGGTTGCTAAGAAATGTTTCTTAGCAATATTATTTGGAGTCATCTTACATAGACAGATATTGTACTTTCGAAGCCATATCAACAGTAGAAACATTGCTAGATACAGTGTCCTTTAAAAAAAAACTACTCAATCTCTAAAAAAAGATGAAAATAATTTACAAATTAGATTATTTTAGAAAACAATGACATTTATGTATTATAACAACCATTATGCCTCACTCATAGAAAATAAATTTGGGGCCAATCAACTATTGTCTCTCACCATTGCTGTGGCATAACCTTAAAATGTATTTCATTAGACTTGTCATTAACCAACTTCAATATCCTAAGAACCGTCCTCCCCTTGGAGAAAAAATCATGCTTTAAACCTTCTATCGTTTTCTGTAATACACATTTTTGCCACAGAGTTTTCTGGATATTGCATGTTCAAGTGAGATGCCGCATTTAATGTGACCGTTTGCATGTGATCGACCTGGAAATTTTACAGAAGTTACACAAATCTGAAAGTACTATTATCATTGATGACTACAATGGTGTCCTAAAGATTTGTAGATGTTGTGAACACTACTTCCTATTGCTTTTCCCAGCCCCCTGCTGCATTGAAATTTAATCGGTTTTCTGTATTTTTTGAAGCAGAGCTGTCACTGGCAGTAACATACTTTTGCGTATGCATCAGTTTGGCTCTAGTACAGATTTTTGTTCACACTGGACTCCTACTGATATGCACTGATTCAAAGTCTAAAAATTACATTTAATTTTATATAGCTTATAAGTAGTCCCAGAGAGTATTGGATCCTAAAAGCTAATATTTTTCAGACATAATCAGCAGGAATAGGTAATGTATTAACATTAGTCACATTAGCAGCAACTGTAACAAAAGGAAACAGTAAGCATAAATGCTCTCAGCAACTTCACTCTTTGCAACGAATATTAATATAAAATTACACAAATTAGAGTTGCAGTTTAACATTATTCAACATGTTTATTCATAATGATTGTTTCATATTTAAATAACACCAAAATATTGTGTTTTGTCAGCCAAGGACAATAATAGTTTAATAGTAATTTATTTTAAACAGCTACTGATAATACAACCAATCAACACATTAAGTGGTGCCAACATTGGCATCTTGCTAAATAATCTCTAGACATTGCACAGAGAGTACATCTTTCAAAGATAAGTCAACAAGAGCAATCAGAGCAGAAAATTAGAATTTGGTATCTTAGAATTAAAATACAGCTAAAGTTTTAATTGGGGTGATCTAAAAGGGCACTTGATGTAATGATCTCTTTCATTTGTTACTAATTGTTTGTTCCTGATGAAGAAGAAGCTTACACAGGAATGTTGCTGAGTTGAGTTAAGATGGCAGTTTCCTTAGCAGCTATGTTTTATTGTTAAACAAAAAAGAGTGGGGAGGGGCAAACTGCCACAGAGAAATCTTTCTTCAGCTTGTTTCATATCACAAGAATTATACCAGCAGATTCAGGGTCAGGTATGGCAAATATGGAATAATTTATATGTGGTCAAAAGAGAATAAAATTGGCTTACAGCCATGCTATAAACTACATTGGTAAACTGAAGTAGGACTATCTCTCTATTGTGCTAACAAGTCAAGCTGGAGTAGAAATTCCTGATTCAAACTGCTCATAATATCTTGCAAGGGAGTCACATCCTAGAGTACATCTACAAATGACATCAACTTTCATCTCATTTTAACTTCAGTAGAAATTTCAGTCTCTGACACTCACAGACCAAGGCAAAATATCTTCTACTTCAAAAACTCATTTTGTATTGCTGAATTGAAGAGAAGTTTTAGCTCTAATTTTCACTAGTAACTGTTTCAGAGTATCTTAGGAGAGAAAACAGAGAATGCTTTTTATATGTTTAACATATTTCCATATCTGATTTTTAAGAACCTTAAAGTACTGCTAATTTTTAAAAGCATACAGTATGTCAAAAAATATATAAATATATCCATGATTAGTTGTATGAATAAACTTCTCTTTCTCTATATGTTCTTTTAAATTATTATACTGCCTAATCATTTCTTAGAAGTTATCCTGAGTTTATTACAACCATCTTGAATGGCTTTTTAAAAAGTAATATACTACTAAACCAATTTTTAGATCCCTTAAATCTATTATGTATCTCAAGAAAAATGTAGCAGTACTATAATTGCTATTTGTGAAATTTTAAAATCTAGTATATAGTGGGCACTTTCTGGGCCTGGGGGCATAGTTCCGAATGACAGAACATGCCCCTGCCCTAGAGAGCTTACATTTTAATAGAGAACACGTAACATAAGTCAGTAAACAAATAAATATATGTCAATACCACATAATGATACATTCTATGAAGAATTTTAGGGAGGGAGTAATAAGATACATTTGGAGACAGGGTAGTAAGAGAAGGCCTCTCTTGAATGGTGACTTTGAGCAAAGATGAAATGAAATGAGGGTGTGAGCCATGCAGAGATTTGGAGGAAAAGCATTCAGGAAGGGAACAGAAAGAACAAAGTCTGTGGGGGCAGAAGCAAATTGTTTCATTGAGGAACCAAAAGGAGATCATTGCGGCTAGGTACTCATGGTAGGGAGTGGGAGAATGAACTCTGAGGAGAAAGGTGAGCACTGCCAGAATCCTGGAAGGTTGTATAAACCATGTCAGATAATTATTTGTGGAGGAGTTTCAGCCTAATTTCCTTCTCAGTTCTTATTTTTTAGACACGCTTACGTGCTGCCCTCATTTAACTTTGGATCTAGATATTCTAATTAGAAGCAATTAAACCTGCATGCCATAAATATTTGTCTTCCGAAAATAGTTTAACTAGACTTAGGAGTTTTGTGCTTTAGTTATAGTATTTGTCCTAGTGAGTGCCAAGTGAATGCACAAGAATTAGATCATTTGATCACTGGGTTCTTCGCTCTTAAAATGCTTTTAAGTAATGAACGAAAAGTGCTTTGTATTAAAATATTACCATTCCGAATATCTTTTTTGTACAGGGGCTCTTGAAAGTTGCCATAGATAATGCCAGAGCTCAAGAGAAACAGGTCCAACTGGAAAAAACAGAGCTGAAGATGGATTTTTTAAGGGAAAGAGAACTAAGGGAAACACTTGAAAAGCAGTTGGCTATGGAACAAAAGAATAGAGGTATTTCTAAATTTCCAAATAAGTTTAATATTTACAGAAAATATTAAACATATTAATACTGTGATGATGATTTATTTTGAAATTGTAGTTTTTTTTTTTTTTTAATTTAACGGTAGCTAAAATTCAGAGCAGAATTTGAATCCTAGGCTCATTGTATTTCTTAATCTCCAAAGTACATGTTTTCTCTTCTGTTCCTACCTCAGGAAATTGAAATACGTCCATTACATCATAAATTATATAACTTTTATTGATGGTTGAGTTTAAAAATTCATGTTCTTTAAGAGAAGAATAAACTCTAATGATAGCCATGAAGAAAAATTTTATGTTAATTCACAATTGCCCTTTGAAAAACTTGAGTTCAACTCATAAATCTAAAATAGAAAATACTGATTATTCAAGCGAAGCAGGTTTACTAAGACATTTATCAACTGAAATTGAAAATGGATGAATATCTGAACAAATGACCAAAGTTAAATGTTTGTATAATTTTCTTTCTGAAGGCCTCATTTTCATCCAACAAGGTCAAGTACACAGAGTAGAAACTGATATAAATTCTTATTGGATAAAATAATGTTATTATTGATCTGTGAATTGCTTCTTTTATCACACTGTACAGTACATCTATAGATAATTTTGAAGGTCATTTATATTTGCATCTTTATTTTATGTATGAATTTGAAGATTATTTTGTCTACGATCAGCTGCCTCTTTGCCTCAACTATGATTCTTTTAAGTATTCTAGAAGTGAAGTGGGGGCTACTTTTCACTCATTTAATATATATCCAATATAAATGCTCCACATTATTTTCTTGTATATGTTTGACATGGTCACTTAAAAATCGTTCTGTTTTGCTTTTAAACTAGCAGGATTTACCAGGTTGTTTTATTAGCTATTATGAAGCAACAGCTAATGTATTCTTGGAATTTGGTCAATTCGGGAAGCTGTCATCCCAGATGTATAGCACAGTTCTAAATAATGTGGCTTCCATAGATTCAGGTATTTAAATAATCAAAACAAGGTAAACATTGATAATGGCTGTATTCCAAGTGAATAAGGAAGTTGGGTCAAAGAACTCAATCTATGGAATCATCTTCCATGAAGCAGCCATGTTTTTATTTTGCTGTTACTAAATTTTGTTTAGTCCTTTTTTACATAACTTAAAGGCAGGCCCAGGGATTCCTAAAGTACCCATTTGGTTACTGGAGAGACCTTCAGAATTTTATTGGTTCAAACCTTTTGGGAGGATTTACATTCTGTTTTCTTTCATTAACCACTAGAGGGCAAAACATTCGCAGATCATACTGTAAAGTTCCCATTTAATTAATTACGAACAATAAATTCAAGGCAATAATTATCAATACTTATCTATTATGAATGTGTCTATTGTAGCAATGTATTACCCTGAAGAAAGAGAACATGGCAATCCTATTGGGTTCAATCACGTAGGAGGAAACCGTGAGCCGTCAGTGGAAAAGTGCAGGATATTAAGCCTTTAGAGCCACAAGAGCATGCAATAGAAATAAATATTTCAGAAATTACTGTGTCTTTTCAAGGCGACTCATAAATAATCATCTTTGGGAAGGGAAACAGTAGGCAGGTAATTTTGTTAAGGTAAGCACATGATTTGCACACCATTAAATAAGGGAAATTAACATTTATTTAAAATCAGTTTCAGTTACTTTTCGTATAACACCATAGCCAGTGTACATTTTGATACAAAGCAGGCTTTTAAAAATATATGGTACAGCAACAATATACGTGACATGTAAATGAGCTGCCATCTTAAAAATATTAGTAATAATAAAAACAGGATTATGTGGAAATTAGAAGCGAAAACTAAAATACTTGAACCATTATTATTTTATATTTTGATTAAATATTCTGCTTTAAAAGTGTTGCTATTCTTTAATCTGTAGTAAGAAATCAAATAGTAAATATGGAATGAGTAGTCTTCATGATTAAGAGAAGCATTTTCTCATACTGAGTCTGTCACACTGATGTCTACAATGTTTATCAACCATCAAAGATAATTTTAAAGAAAAATGCATATTCCCATATGCTGAGTAGTTACCATATGTATACATATATATGTAGTAAAAGTTAAAGCAATTGTCCTCCAGAAAGCATAGTCGATATACATTTTGTAAAGAACATTAGTTATTATTTATTGAGTATATATTATATACAAATATTTAAATTGTCCAGTTGGAGAAAAATGTTTCATAATCAACTTTTTGTATTATCTATTTTTTAAAATATAAAAGGCTCATCATTATTTTTACCAGTAGCATATTATTATTAACAATGAGGTTTCATACTGCCTCAGATTTCTGCAGAGTGAAAGTAGAATAATTTTCTTTAAATATATCATAGTACTGTAAATTTGCTATGAGAAAAATATTCTCAGGGAATCATCACAACTTCATCCCAACAAAAACATTTCTGCTTATATACGTTAACAATAATTAAGAGTATTTTTTCTAATGTACAAAAAATATTTATTGCATTTCCTAAAATTTTAAGGAAGAAATTATTGAAAACTGAGTTGGTCTAACATTGCTTTCCAAAGCATTTTTAGGGGAGATGCTCCATTTGCTGCTCAAAATTGATTCCTTATGAGGAAATAGGAAAGAGACATGCTTATAAGGGTTTGCACTATCGAAATGACTCTGCACTATTATGATTCAAGGACAGAGAACTAAGCCACAAAATTCATTTAATCAAGCTTCCTTTATCAGTGAATACAAACATTTACTAAAATTAGTTTCCTATTAAATTTATCTTTACATATGACAATTAAAGCTATTCTTGTAATGTAATAGTTCTAGGCTAAAATAAAAATTGGCCTTCTTATTATTTTACTGGGAATTATTTTAGGTAAAGGTGGAGATTTTTGGAACTCTCTTTTTATAGGTAGACTCAGTCCAGCAGGAAAACAAAATGAATAACATAAAAAACATAGACCATTTGTAAATTAGCAGCATTACAAAAATTTCAATAATAATAATATGCATACGCTATTTTTTAGCCATAGTTCAAAAGAGACTAAAGAAGGAGAAGAAGGCGAAGAGAAAATTGCAGGAAGCACTTGAGTTTGAGACGAAACGGCGTGAACAAGCAGAACAGACGCTAAAACAGGCAGCTTCCACAGATAGTCTCAGGGTCTTAAATGGTAAGAGGGTGTATATTATTGCATGAATAACTGTCATTTTTAATGCTAAAAGGACAGTTTAGACATGTGTTTGTAGTTTTGTATGTTTCTATATCTTGTGATTCATTCAACTATACTTGAAGCTGAAAGCAGGGTGGGAAGAACGTATTGGGGAAAATGACTTATTTTATAGGTGCTTCCACTGTTTTTTACTGAACTCCAGCATCTGGCACTTGGCATTGCGTCTCTGTTTAACCAGATCTTTTTCTACTGAAACACAATAAAATATTAATTTGAGAATTTCCCAACCCCCATCCTCTTTTATGAACAATGTTGCGTTGCTTACTGTTCAAATCTTCCGAAAATTCTTATGGTTATAGTTTTTGTTCAACCTTTAAAAGATGACAAAGATTTATGTAATTTTAATTCAGCAACAAAGTAACAGGTTGCTCTTTTTTAAAAAAAGGACAATAGGAATCAAATGAAATATGTGTCACTCTTACCTTTCTGTGCTTTTAGACTCTCTGACCCCAGAGATAGAAGCTGACCGCAGTGGCGGCAGAACAGATGCTGAAAGGACAATACAAGGTAGGAATTTGCAGAAGGCTATAAATCTAGATCTTGCTATATGAGTTTTTCCTCAGCTTTAGCCTGCTATTCAAGCATGTAGCCTACCATCTGGGCCACATCAAAACAAGTTCAAACAAGGTCAAGTTCATCTTGCTTGTTTATATGAGTGAATTCATTTTGTGCTGATAGATTTTCTTTAAATTAACAGGTCATCTCTGTTTATACAATGCAATTAAAAGGAATAATTAATTTTAAACAATGTATGATTTAATCTTGGACTCACTAAATGTGTTTTATTGAATGTTTGAAGCCCAGTCTAATGCAGGAAGGGTTTATAAGTTCTGTGCTACATAAATAAAATCTGTGGTTAATCAAATAGGTAGTTCTTACAATTTAAAAATGTCTAACTACTCGTTTTTATGACACTTACTGCAAGGTACTTGCAAAATAGACTAGTTGAATGTTAACAATAAATAAGATTGTTTAGTTCCTATATGGATTCCAAATGTTCTGTGTGCCATTATATACATTTTAATAACACAAATCTGCTGAGTAAAATCATATAGAGAATACCAAAGGGAGTTGTGTTAAATGCTCAGAAGAGCTAAATATGTATATTGTCATGACCATACTATTAGAAAAGAATAAAACCAGAAGGTAGCATTTATAGTCAAACATCTATTCTAGACAACAAATTCAGCCTAACAACATGAATACTAAACAGTAACAAGAGCATTTGTTTTCTATTTAAAACGAAGGTGATTCTTCAAAGGGATGCCTAAAATGATTAACTGCCATAATCCTCCCAGTTGCTTTTATTCTGCATTTTAAACTCAATCATTTTTAGGATATTGTATGACATTAATTGTGTTACTTAATCAGCTCCAAATATATCATTCTTGGCTTCGTATAAAGGAAATATACTTTTGCAAACTATCATATGTGCAAGAAGTAACAATCACAAACTTGAAGAAACATTTCTGAGGAAAGAATGGATTTTTTTGCCTGTATTTATTTTACCTGAGGTCATGCTAATTAATTTGTAAATCCTAAGGTTTGAATCATATGTTATTATGAGACATCTTGGATGTACAAGATTAATGCTATTGTAGATGTAGAAAAATATGTGAATTTTTAGAATATTATGGATTTCAGCACAATTATATGTGTGTATATGTTTGTATGTATATGGTTATGAAAATTAAAAGAATCCTCTTACATCTTATAAAACTTACAAACACAAGTTAAAAATTATTGTTAATGAAAAACCAGTCCTCTTTATCAGAGACAATAGCACCAATAAGACAAATGCAAATGTCAGCACCAATGTGTACATGCAGGGCCTATTCATGCATTAGATAATGTCAAAGTGGTCTCAGAAAGCACATGAGCCCATAGATAAGTGTGACATACAAATCATCTGGTATACACAGAATCTTCTAGGTGGTCTGAACTCAAGCAAGAAAAAATTATAGACAATATAGTCCTGCATATAAATGAGAGATTCATTGTTAATATTAAGAAGTGATTAAACATTTTAGTGTGGTTGATATGATATGTATGCCACCCATAGCAACATGTTGGTTGTTAATAAGGCTATAGTTATTTTTGTTTGAATTTGTCAAATTTACATATGTTTAAACATACATTTTAATATAGGTAAAGTCTTGCTGTATGAGGTTGAAATGTTGACAACTTTCAGTTTCCATTGTTGTGACTGACTTATTCTGAAGAGTAGTTTTAATAATAAATTGCCTTCCTTTTGGTAGCCAGAATCTTACCAATGGAGGAATACAATGAACCTACATACCAACAACTTAATGATTAGGGAAACAAGACACTTGTACAACAATTATACATAGTAATTTAAAACCATATACACATTTGATGGAATTATTTTTGCCTTTAATTGTAATAGAAAATCCTCACTCACTTTATTCATTCATTCGGCCTGTCCATTGTTGTACTGGTCCAAATGTACAGTTGATTTTTAATAAAACATACTAACTATGCATGAGATTTATCAGATAATATGACTTTTCCCAAATTGTAATAAGAAACACACTGTTGATGAATCTGTTTCTAGCTGTTAGTTGCTAAAAGATATTTTACCAGCAGTCAAACTATTTCAAGACTCAACATAACAGAGCACAGAGATCATATTTGCTATTCTGACACCCTATTCAATAAGCTTAATTAGCCCTTTGAACTTTTTTTTCTACCCTCAGACAAAATTCATACATTTGGAAGCTAACAAACAGAATACAATTAACTGCGAATGAAAGAAATCAAAGAAACAATACTGTATTTAGTTAAATGCTGGCGAAGGACAAGAAAGGGAAAAGCAAGAAAGAACGAACCAGAACTCATTACTAATTTGTGAAACTGTCTGTGTCACGCATTTTGGGAGCCATGAGCACCTGCTGCTTCACAATTCAAGGATGACACACACACAGCCTCTCGCACTCATCACTTTCTCTCTCCAACTGTCCCCAAGCCCAGGTGTTATGACATTCTTTTATTATTTCTTGCTCCCAAGCCAATCATAACTGAAATTATTTTCTATTCCAAAGTAAACTCAATTTATTGGGAAAGACAAAATAAGCCCACAGGTTTTTTAGCTTTTCATGTATTTTTAACATTTCTGGCAATAAATAAATGCCACTCTTGGCCCAAGAGTTAGTCACCTAGAAGTCAGGCACTTAAATACTTACTGCTTGAGTGCTAAGTAATTACCCCTAAATATGCACATCTGGGTAGACTAAACATTGCCTCATTGGCATTTTGTATCACCATTTCTATAAAACCCCAGAGGTGGACAAGAGGAATCGAGAAAGTAGTGTAGAAAGTGTTTCTGAAGAAAGAAGCCCTAAATAATTTACTTGCATTTTCTTAGTGAGGCAAATCAGCTCATTGTACGCAAGATAAATTCTTCATTGCTGATTTTCAAATAACTAAGAACTCATGAATTGTAAAAATGCTATAAGTACAGACCAGATATTCAAAAATTAAAAAAAAAAATCTTCCAGCAACTGAAATATATGGCAATTAACTCTCTTATGCCTTGTATCATACAGATTTATATGGCATGATTTGTGTTGGACTTTGAAAAATTTACCCTACTCAAGAAGTTTTCTAAGATCTTTTGAATATATAAAGTAGACAGAGTTCATAAAATCAATCCTTTGACTAGCACTTTTTTGGGCTAGTCGGTAAATATCCCTCAAAACCCCTCAAAACCCCTTTGCCTCTTACACATATATATGCACATATGTGCACATTTTATGTAGCCAAATCTATAACATGATGGCTTTCTTCAGCTACGTCGTCATCTTATGTTTATTATTATGTTTATTCTTTCTCCTTAGGCAATAGCAACTATTTACATAGTTTCTTTTTCCTTTTTCTTTTCTCTTCTCTCTTTTTTTTTTCTTTTTTTTAAGACAGAGTCTCACTCTGTTGTCCAGGCTGGAGTCTCACTCTGTTGTCCAGGCTGGAGTGCAGTGGCATGATCTCAGTTCACCATAACCTCCACCTCCTGGGTTCAAGCGATTCTCCTGCCTCAGTCTCCTGAGTAGCTGGGACTATGGGTGCACACCACCATGCCTGGCTAGTTTTTTTAATTATTATTATTATTTTTATTTTTTTTTAGTAGAGACAGTGTTTCACTATGTTGGCCAGGCTGGTCTCGAACTCCTGACCTTGTGATCTGCACGGCATGGCCTCCCAAAATGCTGGGATTACAAGCATGAGCCACCGCACCTGGCCCCATAGTTTCTTTAACTTACCTATTTAGAAAATGTATAGACATTTTTCCAATCCACTCAGACATCTCTTAAGAGTTCCAGATAATAATATCCAACTTTTTATTTGGTCAACTCACAGAGACCTAAAAGTTCAGTGCACAAAACTCTGTGTATCCTTCCCTCTCCCCAAGCCTGCCTTTCTCCAATGTTCCTTCCCTATGGCACCCTCATCCATCTAATCCAGTACTGTCGTTAATATGTAATGAGGGCAGAGTGGAGCATGACATTTCCCTCCCTCACTCCCTCATCCTCTATGCCCAGTCACGACTCTTTCCCTTCAATCTCTGTGCTCCCATCATACTGGAAGTTTTTCTTACTGTTTCACTTTTTTCCCAACCTACTTCTTCCTTGCCTTTACTTAACCACCCCTTAAGTCCCAGCTTGGAAATATTACCTCAAGGAACACTTCCCAGACCCCTCACTCTCTCGCTGTGGCAATTCCCTGCCCCCTGGGACTAGTTCTGCCTCTTAGAGGTTCTTACTACACCTTCCATTTCTCCATAGGAACATGCTGTACATGCAGTTCCTTGTTCAATGCCTTCTCTCCATGGTAGCTGGGGCAGAGCATAAACCATGTGTGTTTTGTTCACTGCCAAGTTCCTATTGTCTGAGAGAGAGTTTGGCACATAGTGGTGTCTGCTGTGATTCCCTGAAGGAATGAATCAGCCATTGATGAATTAGGATCTATGTTAGATCTTGTGGATATGAAGATCCTTCATGTTCTGACATTTCTCAGACTTTGGTTGAAGAGACTGATGAGAGGGAAAAAAGGATGACCTAGTAAACCCAGAACTAGATCGGGAGCGGTGGCTCACACCTGTAATCCCAACACTTTGGGAGGCCCAGGTGGGTGGATCACGAGGTCAGGAGTTTGAGACAAGCCTGGCCTACATTGTGAAACCCCATCTCCACTAAAAATACAAGAAATTAGCTGGTCATGGTGGCAAGCATCTCTAATCCCAGCTACTCGGGAGGCTGAGGCAGGAGAATCACTTAAACCTTTGAGGCGGAGGTTGCAGTGAACCAAGGTCGCACCACTGCACTCCAGCCCAGGCAACAGTGCGAGACTCTGTCACAAAAAAAAAAAAGAAAAAAGGAAAAAAAAGAAAAGAAGAGTAGCCCAGAATTAATGTTTACATCCAAGAGCTGAATTAACAGGATGTGTTTATTCTTCTTTGTTTGCATTTTTAACTTTATTTTCTTCTTTTCACA